TATCAATATTTAATAGATGGCGCTTCTGTTAATGGTCAAGTTTGTAATTGAGTTAATGAAGATATAGTGTTCTTTACAATATAAACGTAATCTCAGACCCAACTTAAAAGTAATTCGCAGCGTGTGAATAAAAATAAAGCAATATTTATAGCTCTCGCTCTGCGGTTTCTGAAATAATGTTTTGCCATATATGCCAAATAAATTCCGTTTGCTTTCCAGTCTGGTTGCAATTTTGTAATAACTCTTAGATATGGGGTCTGATTATGGTGTTTGACGTGGCGTAATCACCACACAAATTACAGATTTATGCCTCACATATATTTCTAACGTTATCACTAACGTTGCAGTGCCAGCGTTTCATAAATCTTAATGGATTTTCGCTCCCATGCATACACAATGATTAGCCATGATGGATCTGGTTTTCAAGATAGACTTAAAACTTACTGTTACTTGAAATGTCTAAAATATCCTTCCATTTACTGACTAGTCTCTCCAAGAGCTGGTAGAGCCTTTGGGTATCACAATATAAAATAAAATATCAAATTTTACACTTCCATGAAGAATTTAGCAAATATATCATCATTCGCTTGTTATTAGTAGTATTGGGGAGTGGGGAGGGTGTCACAAAGGCCATTGAAGGATTAAAACCTTTTATTGGGAGTAAGAATTTTGTTTTGTTCAAACTTGTGTAATCACTAATTACATTTAGTTGATTAGATTATCGACAGCTCCCCAAACCAGATTTCATTCATTTTTATCACATTAATGTGTATTTGATTAATATAGCATTGAATAGTAATTCATCCCTCTAAACATGTTTATCTGCGTTTCCTGTGAGGCAGTGACGCAAGTAAGATTACCTCCAAATCTAACCAAGTAATCTACGTGAATTCCATAATTATGATTTCTACAGAATGCCTTTTTATAATGAGTTTGTGAAACGATTTTGTGGTTAGTTCGTTATACCCTCTAACAAAGGCAATTTAGGATGATATTCTGTTTCAACAAAACAAATATTTTGTTTTTTCTCCCGAAAGTCAAAAATGTCTTCTTGTCTTCCTTCCTTAAATATTTTGACAAATACTATTTGTTTATTTATCGTTTTTTTATTTATTTGTAAAGTGACTGTCAGGTTTATGTAAACAAGATATTTGCAATTGTAATGCAATCGAAATAACAACTAAAATGGTCATCTGTGGACATTTATTTGAGGTTAAGCAACTGGCATTGACGTCTTGTTTTCTTGGTATTATATTACATTATAGGGACATATATAATAGTTTTGTCCTCACTAATTGTCACGAAGAGATGCTTATTCTTGATAATTTATTTACACATTCATTGTGTTTAGATACAATGCGCAAACTTCATATCTGTGATATAGTTGTTAGTATTTTGTATATTTCTGATGATAAGTGTTTGAATTGTTTTGCTTTCTTTATATGTTGCCCTTTGTGATTCTTTCTCAAATAATCATATTCTTTAATATGTAGTACTATATAGAAGAATATATTGTTACATGAACTTCAGAGTCACTCTTACATATTGCCTGAAGAATAGGGATTAGATATTGAACATATTCTTGTGGAGAAATCTCTTTAGCTCTACCTGTGGTATGATACAAAAGAAATGAATTCCATCCTACCTAAGGCCTGTTACAATTCAAGGTAGAAGAGGAAATTAATTTACTCAGTTCTTGTCATCTCCGGTCGGATTATAATCTAGAAAGACATGATTCTGCTTTGATGTGTTTTTTGATTTGTCTCTATCCCATCATAACTACTGCTTTGTGAAATACAATCCTGTTCATCTAGGTGCATATACATTTATTTTATTATTTCAAGAAGATGAATTTGAATTGATCTAGGTTGCCCAGTATCAGTGAAAATTTACAATGCATCTAGTCTTTAATTAAGGCTACGTGACCCACCCCAATCCACTCTTGGTTTGAGAAAAAGATGTAGGCAGACTGGTCAAATAGTAGCTAATAATGCTGAGTTTTATGTGCTTTTCCTTTGTATTGTGTATTTTACCAATTTTTATAAACAGGGTAGTCAATAAATTTCGATAGAAAGAACATTTTTGATGTATTTCTTATTTTTTATTAGTGTAGATATTGTTGGTCTAAGTTCACTATACATGGAACATATTAAACAAACATAACAATAATACGAATAAAATAAATGAATTAAAGATTATATTTTACTTAAATGTACCAGATTTTGAGCCCTTTAATCAACTTTGTTATTTCATTACCTATTTGACATGCTCTTATGGGAAAAAAGTAGATCAAATAATGACAGGGAATCCTAGATGACGGTGATTCCAATACAGTTTTATTGCAAATATTTCAAATGATTTAAATAATATAGCTTTAGCCTAATTAATGAATAGTTATTTAAAAGTACAATCAATAACTTAATTACATTCAGGGTGATATTACAGACCAGAAGATGAAAAATGAAATTGAACTTGATATATTGACATTGAGGTGTTTAGTATTTGTTGTTTAGATGAGATAATTAAATTATCATGAGGTCATTAAACCATTTATACGTATTGGGAAACTGAAAATAAAAATGTGTTCAAGGCTAAATATATATTAATAACGTCATTAAATTTACTTATTCCATATTAAATAATTAATAAACACTTAGGGGACAAAGATATACTGAATAATGTATAAAATAATTTGTAAGTAAAGAATTCACCAGTATCTTACAAAAATTCTGAAAAAGTAGTATGGATCATTTCAACGATGACATCAATGGAGAAACAATCATTCGGTGTATGTACTTCGACAAAATATGGCGTAATAACAAATATATAATTATACAATAAAGTAAATTAGATAAAAATTCGGAGAGAGCACAAACGTGACTATATTAACTCTTTTGGGAAGTGTCAGCTAGGTAATTGTAAAGTGCCAGATTAAAAAAATCTAATAAGTTTCCCCGGAGTAGTAATTAATCTACCTGTCAGCTACATTTACAAGATATACTTGGAAACAATTGCGTGTACATCTAATTTACCACATTTCATATAAGACACATTGACGACCCTACAAGTCCACACACAAAGCGTAGCTTCAATTCAGCAAGTTCCAATGTAAATTGAAGAGATCTCTAAATATTTTGATTTTATTAGGTCAAACAACAGTTTATGATTATTTATTGGTATTTGTAGTTATTAATGAATTAATGATTTTATTGCGTGATGAGATGGAATGCATATGGACTTAGTCAGTCTACTAGTGTATGTACATATTAGCTGTAATATTACAGGCAAACATGATGTAACTAATTCTACATCACAAATCATCATTAGGAAGGATAAAGAAAAGTCAATAGAAATGACTACTTATAAATAAACATGTTCATCTGAAAACATTCTGAACATATTCTACGGGAGCAGATAGAAGGCATCAACGTATCACAAAAAAATACAAAAAAGAATGAACAATGGTGGTATTGAGTGTTTATGACGTCAACGAAAAACGAACATGTCAGCACAAATCTGGATTATGAATGGTGAAAAACAATTCATAAACAACCGATAAAGGATATACATAACTGATGAATCAATGTCAAGTTTCAATTTAGGGGCTAGCCTTTATTGACACTTTGCGCTGATAAATCTGAGAGGTTCTTAAAATTTTCATTTGATTCGGTGACCATGCGTGGTTGATTTAGGTGGTTTTATGACATGATCTTCTATGGTTCATTGACTCTTCAATGTTACCAAGGAGCATGCACGATCAGGAACAGATGATAAAAATTCAATGAATATCAAATTTTTAGAATAGAACTTTTTAAGATGAAGTAAATGTTGTGATCTCATTTGCGATATAATGGGATTGGTTTTCTCAGAAATATTTATTAAAGAAATTGCAGCAATTAGCAAAATTAAGGAGTTGTCATAGAAATATCTCGTCCCATTATTAAATTTGCTTGGATACTATTTCAAATTGTACAAAATAGATTACAGACTATAGAGTAAGGCAAAACACATCCGCAATTTAACAGTTACATGGCTTTTATCCTTTAGTAAAGGTAATTTCATCCAATGAGTCAGTTGAGTCTATTCAATCTCAACCATTTTAGGACCATTAGGGTAATGCATCTTCGTTCTTAGATTTCATTGGAAATGATGTAAAAAGAGACGGTTTTAGACAGTGGGTCATTATTATAGAATATTTTCTAATACAGGCAGGGATGGATTTATCAAGACAAATTGCATTGGTGTTCAGCACTGTTCATCCTGGACGAGTTTATACAGCAATGGAATTGATGAGCTCTGTTTAGCACATCACTCTCACCATTGCTATGCTTCATATGCAGTTTATCTTCACATTTGATTTTAAATGTCCTGCTTTTTATTTAGTTTACAAAGGTTGAATTATGCAAGTACACGTTGTAACCAGTTGACCCTTATCATTGAGTTCATTTCCACTATCAAGGTCACCACTATCATTGTCTGTATCACTGCGTTCATTATCTGGCATTGCGTGCTAAAGGAGTGGGTCTGTATCAAACCAATGATATGAAATTGAATACATGGTGGGGAGAAATGTATCTTACATGAATAACATGTAGGCGAGGATTGTGATCAATCTTTATGTTGAGATCAATGTCAACGATTCTTAAATTAGTTTTATCATTATCCCCTGGGTTATCTGAAGTTCCTTGGGAAAGGACATTATGGGCATGTTGTAAAAATCTTGGCAAATTGCTTAATAAAGGTTGGAATAAAGGTTGCCTTATCATATCTACAGGTTTTAAAAGAGGTTGTTTATGATACCTGTACTACGAAGGGACATGAGCTAAAAGTGTCCAGTAAAGATAAAGGCATCTGATATCCCAAGATAAAATTGTCTGATGTTTCCTGTGTCTAACTCACAGTTGGACAACGTGTTTCTTCCACATATTAAAGAATGCTTTGCTTCAATCAGACATTGAGAGGAAATTGAAAATAAAGATAACCTATAAGAAACAGGATCAGAGCAAATTGTTGTTATTAAACCTCGATCAGAGAGACCTTCAAAAACAACATCATAAAGCCTACTTCAAGTGTCATTACAAGAGGAGTATAAGTTACAAACAATAGTTAATAAAAACTTGATCTTGATTAGAACTTGATCATAAATTGCTAAAGGTTATACAGGAGTATACCAATCTAATTCAAGATGAATAAATCAACATCTTCAGACGATGAGACCAGAAAGATCAGCCTTCCAAGCAAGTTTGGGAGAGGGATAGATAAAGACGCAGCTTTCAAACATGATCCACCGAGGAGAAAGATCACTATGCCATTATTGGGAAACCTAGAAGAGATCCAACATAATATTTCCTCTATACAGGAGATCACAGATTCGTCCCAAACCTCTCTAGATGATAACTCAGTTACAGAGGAGGAAATGAGGGAAAGGGAAACACTAAATGCATCAATTAACTCTGCATTATCGTCTCATACAAAAATCAGAGAAAGTAAAAGTGACGGTGAAAATATCTCAACAACTACTCGGAAATCTTCTGGCCCATTAGCACTATTGAATGCTTTGAATCTACCTAAAAGAAAAATAAGCGGGCCTGAAAGGAAAGTGAGTGGCCCTGAAAGAAAGATAAGTGGCCCTGAAAGGAGGATAAGTGGCCCTGAAAGGAAGATAAGTGCTCCCGAAAGACTATCAAGAGGATTCTTTGAGAAAACAATTTTCCGGAATAACTCTGGTGGAAAGAAAGGAAAAATCAGACCTTCTACGGTTTCACTTCCAGATACACCATTATTCAATAGGGCACCTTGCGTTGTGTGTACCCTAATAAGACAAGTCAAATTTGACAGTTTTGAGAACCCTGTTATCAGCCAACATGGGTTTGTAACAGATGTACATGTATCCACCATGCTAACCAAGGCAAGAAGTTTATCTAAACTCAATATCGAAGGTTGCAGCAACATGGACAATCAACCCAAATTAGCACCCGTGACCAGTGATCATAAAAAACAAGGAAGGAAAATGCCAGTTACACCCCAGTTGTTGAGACGCTTTCGCAAAAAATCCAAAGATGAGAAAAAGATGGAGGAAATTGAAGCTGCGAAGGATCGTGTTAGGAAGATCGGGCTTCCAATGGCACCCTGGGAAGTACTACCAAATGAAGATGCACTGGATAATAATGTTAGGTAAGGTGAATTACATGAATTTTTATGTTCAATAGTTCATTTCATTTGGATATAATCATAGGAAAACCCAAATACGATGGGTATGCCTCCAATTTCAATATTTTGCAGGTCAACCATTACCAATGAGTTGTTATGTAAAAGTTATATACTTCAAAGTACATCGTGGTAATAACCCAGATGCGAGTAGGTAGTTACCATATTCACCACCAGGTGGCTCGTTCGGGTCAGATAGCATGGTGGGTATAGTAGAAAGTTCCCTTTAACTTAAATTACATCTATTTGCATGGTTCAATTTTCTTATAACCCTTATGTATCTAATAGTTATGCAAATTAAAATATGTCCAGTAAAAGAAAATGTTATCTGTCCAATACAAGAGAAGATAATTCACTTTTTGTGATTTTGTAACATGGGGTCTATGGGGAATCAACCCGAACAAGAAGTCACATTTTCAAAAAAAATTAAATTTTCAAAGTTGATAGACAATTTTCGAAACCATACCTCTAGATGTACTTTTACATGCAGATTTCAAATATGACATCACTTTGACTGAATTTTGAATATTTAATAACGTAAATCAAGATTATTTCTACTCGCATCTAGTCTATTGTATCCAAAGAGATGATTGTCTTTGATCCATGCAAATCCTCCTTGAATCTTTTACTGAAGAGTGCTTCTCTGATTTTCTTTGGTGAAGTACGTTTAAGAGAAGTGTTGGAACACCATGTTGTCCCAGGGATCTTATATGAGGGCTGATCATTTGCGATGAAAAAGCACGAGGGACACGTGAGAAAGACATAATTCACACTTAGACTTATGAACTACTTACTAACTTACATCTTATTTAGACTATAAATTTATGTAAGAGCAAGTAAAGAAATCCATTTATATTTTTAACATTGATATACTGTATTGCAAAAAAAGACTCCGTGTATTTATGTCCCCATCGAGAAGTGGTGACATTGCTCATGCCAAAGCTTTTTTGAAACCAGCATTGACAGTCAATTGTCAGCATTCAGCGGGGGGGGGGGGGGCCTTCAGCTTCTGTAACAAATTGTTTGACCTTTGCGACCTTTGTGATTTGCAAAACTTGTTGTGGTTACATTTTGTCATTTAAATGCCTAGTTACTTCATTAAGTTTACTTTCATTTTCCATGCAAACTACTGATTACTTACTGTAGTTTAATTGACTGATATTAGAGGTTTGATTATATAGTGTTTTTATGTTACCACCATAAGTGTTGTTATAGTCTCCACCTTTTTGTGGAGAGTGTTCAGTATTCAGTGACTGGTGTTCGGTGTCTGTAACAAATGGCAGGTGGTGACAGTTTGCATGTTAATGCTTCGTTTCTTATTGATATTCATTTGTTTCATTCTTGGCAAACTAACCTCGAATGTCAACTATTCAAAATGCCATAAATATCACTAAAATGTTACAATATTGAAGACCCCTTGGTTGTTATTTCATCTCCTAAATTTACTTTGATCTCTCCTGCATCACTACCCTGAGTTCAAGAGGATGATAACAACACCTACGAAGCTCTCTTGAAGAGGAGCATAATGAAACTATTGTAAAGGGTACTGTATCACTTATCTATGGTGATAAACAAGTCAGTTACATGATATGCTATTATGTGAAATACGCCACAGTTTAATTAAACCTATAATGAACCTGCAAATTGCTTCACCCACAGCATAATGCATCATTAGAAAACATTGATGTTGTTGCGAAATAAAAATGTGATTTTTAATTAAAGCATTCTCAAGGATTCATTAATGTCCTTAATTTAGCATTTCTTTATTGTATAGACACTAGATTATTGTCATCTCATAATACAATCAATGCTTTTCCTATTTGTATGCCCACGTCTGTCCATTTCTTGAATACCTCACATTTCATATGTCTGTATCTTATGAAATAGACTTTCTGAGATACTTTCTGCTAATGATACCTGAAGTAAATGAGGCTCATAGCTGCAGTGATCAGACATCTGATGTTTTAATAGGCTTAAGGAATGGTTAATTATTAGTATGAAGTCTCGCTAGATGCTCAATACCTAGAAATGAAATTGGATCAATTAATAAGTTTCCGACAGCCAATAGCTGGCCTGAAGTGCTTGAAGTCCAGTACCTTGATAACAAACTTGCATGGTTTGTAATATACAGAGTGAGCGCAACTTCTGGACCACTCGATCTTGAGACTTGGATCTCTACATCTAGTCTTGAGACTCAAACATTCGGTAATCCTTCTCCGAATAAGCTGCTTGAACTATAGATAGGAGGAAACAGAAGGATACAGTACTGGTATCTGTCACTGAAGATTTGAACTGACACAACACACTTAAAGTATGGTTATTGTAGAACGAAATCTCTGACAACATTGTACTATGTGAAGTATTTGTAATTGGATTGATTGAGAGGTTACCTAAACTACAAGACTCTTGGTTGTTTAGTATCATATATTGCTGTATCAAGAGAGGCTGTTGACGCGTTAAGATGTGAGTTGACATATTCAGGAGTACAAAGTGGGATCTTGTTACATATGGTAACCTTCAAATCAAACATTGCTACCTGACACCTCACAGTGGTATTGACTATACACTAGTACCTAATTTCAAAACACAATCAATAAAAAACAATTGAAATTTGTAACAAATACTTACTCAGTTGTCAAAACTTGACTGAACAAACGTGATAGGATAAAGATAACGTGAATGCACTTCAACGGGACCTTATGGTTTTAGTTCAATCTCAGCACTTTAGTAGATGCGAATGTGTGGTGTAAGATACATGTTGAAGGCTCTAAATAACAGTTTTAAAACACAATAAAGAAGTCAATCAATATGGGGGATCACAAAAGGGTAAGGAAGATAAGCTTACCTCATTTAATGCACTTTAGAAGCTCCAAAGATCACCTGAATAAAGACTTAGTAGAACACGATGCCGAGAATGACAACATGTCGAGACCACAAACATTCTCAGATCGGGTTAGGAAAATAAGTCTAATCTCGTTACGTAAAAGTGGAGTGCGTGACATCCCAAGGTCAATTGATGAGGACATTTTTGTAGCTCCGGCCAATAGATCATCAACGGAACAACGGTCAAGAAAATGCAACTCACTGGAAGTGAATGACAATGATCAAATAGGATTGATACGTGCTATGAAGCGACACTCTATGACATCACATAGCTTAATGATGTCACAATCGGGCCTAAGATCACTGACCCCGAGCCCAAACAAACCAAGGAGGCAACTCCCCAAAACTCCAGAAAAATCTGAGGATGAAGAGAAATTGACTCCAGATCTTAATACAAAAAGGAGGTCACAAACTTATGATTCACCAACGAAAAGATTTATGGGATCCAACAAAAAGATTTTCCGGAAAATTAGTTCACCTTTACCATTCAGGTAACCCATTTACATTCTTAGCAAGATTTGGGTAATTTAAAAATATGTTTCAAATACCAGACCAGTAATTAGTGAAAGCAGAGTTTGGCAAATGTTATCAGTTTAATATAAACATATGTGTGATTTTCAATCGGTTTGGGGTTGTTATCCCCTATCTCAAGTATTGTGTTAGGGAATTGAGATAACAGTATGTTGTTAACTTGTTAGCTTAACTTTTACATATGTATAGTTAACAGATTCAGGTTTTCAGTTTCACTAACATGGCCACTTCACCCAATTTATGCTATTTTTACAATCAGATCTCCTATGACACATCCCACTGTAAGTGACATGGAGGTTAAAGTTGGAGATCTATTTACACACTTTGTTTATAACCACTAGAAAGCATGTAATAGGGTAACATTGTTCAACATTTCAGCAACAACAATAAGAAGGGAATTGATTGAAAAGTACTAAACTAAATGTATCATCCATATCAAAGTTTTAATTAGCATTCACATTGTGTTTGGATCAATAACTACACTGTTGCAATGTTGTGGGAAAATCCCGATTATGTTTTTCTATTGTATTTTACGATGATGACTTTTGGATTAACCATTGCATTCTATTTAATCACAACAATTGACACTTTAAAATATATTTCCTGTCATTTTTGATGTTATTGTTGTTATGAATAGGCAAGTTCTCAAGATACATGTATTTTTCAATCATTTATGAGGATAAAACACTGCTATAACAGTACCCTTTGCATTCGTTTGACTTCACTTCTTAAAAGAGAGCTTCGTCTTCATCTAAAATACAAGTATTTGAAATGAAAACATTCTAGGTTAAAATCATTGCAAGTAAAAAAAACATTTTTAAAGGTTTTTCTAAAATTATTGTTTGTTTTAAATCTTCGCTAGCCTTATGTTGTATATGTTCTTGTTATTGAAAATCCCGTGAGAGTTTGTGTCAAAACATAGGGTGACTGTTCTAGTGCTACTTATTCCGTTTGTTAGGTGAAAGTGAACTGGATACGTGGTTTCCTTGATCTACTTTGTCCCGCTGGGTGGCAAAGAAAGTGTCTTTCTACCAGAATCCTCTGAAGTATGTTTTTACGTCATCATAAACTATGTGTTTCATTTTTTGTTCATCTTTGTTGATCTCAAAACCACATTTTTTTGCGTCCATATCTTTTTGACATTTCAACGGTCCAACAAATAAATTGGTAAAAACATCATTTCTGGTTAAACTGGTAATTTTTCATTAATCACAAATATCTTTTACAATTTATTTTGACATTATAACCTATCAATATATTATCAATTATTTGACTGATTTACTATTTAGTTGAGTTAGTTATAGAAGCAAGTCAATAAGATTAAGTGTTCTGCCTTTGCTTAGTTAGAGTTACATGTTCATTGAAGATTGGCTGCTTGATGGATCACTTGTTGAAATTATAGA